TGTATTGACTTAATAAACAACTGTACATTTCCTTAGTAACATTGAGTAAAGAAAATGTTTACTCATATTTGCTGCATGTCGTTGCCCAACTATTGTAATTGTTCTGGAAAATAACTGTCGTAGTCATCTGGCCAAACAACCGATGTGATCCATTCAATATACGACGAAACACGCGTGTAAACTCCCGGATATGCGCTGCGACAAAACTCGCCATACGAGGTCATTCCGATTAAATAGTAGCGAAAATGCTTCCTATTTTTACGCATTAGGTTCAATTGCAGTGGTCCGCCAGAATCTCCCTGCAAATATTGGAAAACTAAGTTCGGGTGTAACCGAAATAACTTCAGGTGTTGGCAAAACTTTATTTTAAGAAATGTTGCAAACGATATACTAACATAGTTTAATAATTATATATGACTTCCCGTCAGCGAAAATTATATTAAAATCATCCTCAAATAGAAAAATGATATATATGTATACTTAACTGAAGAGACTAAATTTAATCAATATATTGCATAAGTTTAGATGTACAAAAGGTCAACCAGAACATCGGAATTGATGTGAATTATGTGATCAATAAGGACTCTTGTCTAATGACCACGTCCACTGAATATTTTGGTTCGAGTACAGGTCCCTGGAGGTAAAGTTCTTCCTCAGTTTCGATTATAACAACCTAACTTCAATCTTTAACTATTTAAAGCAAGCTCGGGCGAGCCAAGTTCAAGCCAAGTTCGAAACTTCTTGATTTTGATAAGGTTTCTTATCTGTTTACCGATATTTATAGGATAGCAATAACCAGAAGAGCGGAAATCTTAATATTGGGTTAAGGAGTTAGATATAGGTATTAGGAATATGAGGTTTGGACCAAGGTCTATATCAATTCCATTCATATTCAGTGCTAAACCACATAATTTTTAAGAAAGCATGTCCACTTAATTTCATTAAAATATCACACATTTTGACCAACCTAAACGGTTTAAAATCAGGTGGAAATCCGGAAATCATCTTATCTTATATTAAGTATATAGGAGACAGGGACAGTATTGACTCGATTTTATCTATTTTTGGTATTACCACATATTATTAATAGAAAAAGATGATCACTGAGTCTCACTAAGATACCTCATATACCATTGGTGAGTCAACCGGATGTTTGAAAATCTTGATATTAGTTACATATATGCAGGCTAAGACAAGTTTTCACCCGATTTTATCTATTTTGTGCACAAATATATACCGTTATTAGAAAAACACGCTCTCTCATTTTTATAAAGATAACCCAAATATTTGCCGATATATGCGGTATAAAGTCAAACGGAAATTGCAAAATCTTTATATTAGGTATATGTGGGCTAATGAAAGTATTAAACCGATTAAACATTTTTGGTTTACATGTATGCTATTATCAGAAAAGGATTTATTCCGAATTTCCATAATATATCTCACAGATTGACCGATATTTTCAATAAAAAGTTCGTAATTAGAACTGGGCTCCACATATTCGGTAACAGGGGCCTTAAACGGTTGTTACCCGATTTTTCAAATGTTTAATCGTAAGGAGGCACATCTTAAAGTCACTATTTATGTAAAGATTTATCTCGATATATACTGGAAAGTGAAACAATCAGATGAAATTTAAAATTGTGTTATATGGGAAGCAGGCGTGGTTCTAGTTCGATTTCACCCATTTTCGCACCGTAACATGGGAATGTCAAAATTATGTTATATTTTAATTCGGTTGAAATTGGTCGAGTAGGTCCTGAGATATGTGATTTCACCTAAATGTGGGCGATGTCACACCTATCGTCCAATTTTGACACCTGCTTCTATAAAACTCTCTTGTACCACGTCGGATGTGGCGTCTGTCTCTAACGCGTTTAGTTATTGACTTATCATACATTTGGTAGTTTTTTGACAAAACTGTTATATGGGGAGTGAATAAATACTTGTACTTAAAAAACATGCTGAATATACCGCAGTTCAGCAGTAATCGTGTAAATAAACGCACGGCATAGAACTGAAAAATATAAAAATCGATAGCGTTTGATTAAAATCAAAGGACACCTCGTGGCTAAACACCGAATGGCTGTTTGAGCACAATGAGCCTAATGATGGTTTAAGTGCGTTTAGTTGCTCCTGCGCCTCCTTTTTCAATCAACCAATGGAGATTTGGCATTATCTCAAGATTAGCAGTATGTCGACGATATGAACTGCTCGGATGCTCTGAGTAATATTTTTCAAATAGATTCAATCAAAACCAGTAGGGAGAGTTTGAAAGCAGAACATTTGAATTTCTCTTGTTAGATTGACGGAGTATAAATAGTTACATAAATGGGTATAGTATGTCTAGATAATATACATCAATACTTTTAGATATTTGATATATTGAACGACATATTTTATATATTATATAAGCGGTTAGGTATAGGAGGAGTGCCAAGATTTTCGGTATAAATTCCGCCATAAGCGCCGACCACCTCTACCATCGTAAATGGACTCTTTATATACGTATTACGAAGAAGATACGGCTGTAGTCAAATTACACACTTATATAACCAAGCCAAGAAAATGTAAAGCCCCGAATGCGGTTTTATAAAGCAGTTACTATGTCAAAATCTAGTACTCTATCATTCTTGGTTTGAATCGTTTTACTATGAGCATTGACGCTAATTTAAATTAAATTAAAAACTATCGTCAATCAGTACTACGTTGTACTAAGTATGTTCCATATCGAGAACGAAGAAGCAATATATTCTTCTTTATGTTCCTGGTTGTTAAGGTGCTGACGGCAACAACGACAAAAGTACGAAATCTAGGAGTATATATATATATATGTATATATGTATATATTGCATATAATATAACAAATTAAATGTATGCAGATCTGACTTCGAAGTAAACCCGAAAAATTCGCTTCCTGTTAGAAGATGTAAGTAAAAAATAACGGCGAATGATTTGAAGCAAAAATATACGACTACTAGGAGGTAAATTAACGGTGTTCTCGATAGACGAGAAATCGTGTTCGGAATGGATACGATTTACATTCAGTCAGGGACTATCAGCACATCAACATTTCATGATGCTATTACAACAACTAAATATTTCTTTAACAAAAAAAAAATTATCCCAATAAGCTACTTACCTGACATGTATCACGATTCCGCTCGTAATCCTTAGCACAAATCTGTGAATCCAGTACTCCCTCCGGTACCCCAGAGTCCGAAGGCAGAACTTGGTTGCATTGCAGCAAGGGCACAATGGACAACTCCAGCTCGGTCAAGATATTTGTGGGAGCCTTCGCGAAAGCGGTCGAACCGTAACCCATTGCATGAAGTTTATTATAAGGAATATCGTCACTAACCCACAAGCGTATTGGCCGCACGAAATTCGTGTAGCTGTAAAATATTTCGTATGTGTTTGAGATATAAAAAAAGCAACTTCTTGCGATTAACGGTCTTACACCACGGGCTGCGCTAAGCGTATCAGTGCTATGTCGTGATAGTAATACGAGGAGTTGTACAAAGGATGCACCTGCACTTCGGCAATAGGACGCACTTGGAATACTTCATCGAAGTCAACGTTTTTCAGATTGATGTCGCCCACCTTAACGGTCTCGGGCTGTTGGCTTTGAGATGAAGGAATTGAATGTCGTAAAAAGAAGTATTTAATTACTTTATCGTAATTTTTTTTGTTTAAGTGTTTTACATTAGTATTAAAGTATACATGTATGTAAGTCTTACCCGCTGTGATAGCAACAGTGTGCTACTGTTAAAACGAACAACTCATTAATTAAACTGCCACCACATTTGTACTCGTAGCTGTCGGCGAAGGAGCGGAAACCTAAGGCGGCCTGCATTATAAAAAGAAAATGTTTATATTATTATTTAATAATGCTCGTTAACAGCGCCAATTAATCAAGTAAAGTTCTAATATATACATATATATATATATTGATATGGATCCATTGAAATTTTCTTGAATGCATGGCTTTGACCTCAATTTCGACCTTCAATATGATTAGCGCGAGGCAAAAATGAAACCGGTTTGACGCGGCTATCTCGTGCTAATGAAATGCATTAATCTATGCAGCAAAAAAATATTTATATTCCGCTCACCATGTGCGGATATTGTCCTGGCGCCACAATCGATCTTCCATTGAAATCATCATTCACGTCATCATTTTCGAGCGCCTCATCGTAAGCCGCACCATGGACTTTTCTTTCAACATTATTATAGATAGCGGCAAAACGTTTGTAAAGTCCTGGTGGCGGTGATTTCGGACCGAACTTATTATTACCCCTACCGCGACAGTGACCATAAGCATGTCCACGTCCATGTCCATTACCAGGTCCATTGGGATTTGTACAGTCAGTCGGCGTATTACTGTTGTCCGACTCAGTGGCCAAAACGAAACCCTGCAAACCTTTGTTATTCCCACCTTTATTCTTATTAGCACTATTACCACGCCCATTATTTCCATGTCCGTTGCTTTTGCCTTGTCCATTGCTGTATGTAGAGAATGGGTCTGGTTGTATGTCATAATCGCCAGACGGCGATTGAATGCCGGCATGCGGATTGCGACCTTGTCCGTGCACTTTTCGGGTTTTTCGCAAACCAGACACGCCAGTACTGCGTATAGTCAATACACTGAAGTATGAGATGAGCAATATTCTAATATTCATCGTGTGTTTTGTAATTATTTTATTTATACAAACAACATTTATTTACAACCATCGCTTAGCTTATCGAGCGGCAGACTAAATGCTGCAGCGTTTTGAAATCTAAATTTTAATCAACGCTCGAGCTCAAAAAGCAATTAATTGCATTTTTTATTCACAAAAAGATGCTATTGTATGTGATTCGTTTTTATTTTTGTTTTTGTATAAACGTTGAACTCGCCCAAAAAACTTATTGTTGTTACGGGAGTAATGTAGATATTTGTTAAAAGTGTGAGACAAGCGCATCTGAACCCACTACTTACTTTATTTATAAAAAAAAAAAAAATTAGGAGCACCTTTGGCCTCTATAGTCAATGAAAAATCTAAAAGCAAAACTTAACAATAAACAGTAAGGTCCCATGTTCTCAAATGTATGACTGTGAACTTCTTCAGCACGGAAATATTTCATGTAGCGACACTGTAATACGAGTACTGCCTTACGAACCTAGGTAGATAAAAAGTATTAGTTGGTATTAATTTTGAAGGTGAAAACCTCAAACTTTAGAAATATCTGAGCTAGTAGTATTTGTAAATTCATTGATTGACGTTTTTTCGGATGGGCTCCGGTATAAAGCTTCATTAAAAGAAAAAGCCATTTTCGAGGAAATTCACACGATCTCTACTTGAATGATATAATTTTGATTGCTCACTTTTAAGCTAGCTGGCATTGGTGATGATTTTATTTCAATACTTACTACTTAAGGTTCCATTCCCATACCCATCAGTGTATATTTTAGTATAACTGAGTTGCTTCAACTTCTTCCTTCTCTACCTTTTCTTCTCCACATTCTCAGAGATTTACCTCATTTCAAAGTATTTTACCGCTTTGAGGTGTGCTAGAATTGAAGTTGTTCGACAGAGTTGTTAAGACGGAGATTTTAGATTTTCCCAGGTTCTAGTGCTTTCTTTATCTTTCTTGTTAAGGTATTTCGATCCTGGCTTAAGGAAACACAAAATTGGAATCACATAAATATTTAAAGAAATTTAAAGTACGGTTCCCTTCATTCAAGTAGGTATGAAACAGATGTGTATAGTAATTTTCTGGGCATGCCATTTGAAAAAGAGCTTATTCCTTTGACAAAGGAGCAAAAAAAAGTTTACTATTATATATTGCGGTCACACAAAATTGCCCATAACCTCCATTTATTCTTGTTTTTAATTTAGGAAAATTTCACTATAAATAAACTGCCTGTTTGGAAAAGATCCTTAGTGCACATGTGCGAAATGCAGGTATCTATATGTATGTAAGCGGTATATTGTTTAATGCGGTTTTTCCGGTAGCTCCTCATTACGGTCAAATAAAGCGAACAAAGCAATGACCGATTATATGCATTTGAAACTTAAATTGATGCTGGGATTACCGAAAACCTTGAAGTATGTTTATGAAAAAAAAAATAAGCCAATCAACCAGGAATTTCAACAGGGGAATTTCAAATATAATGGGCTTTCCGGGCGCAGAATATAATAGTTAGTAAACAGTCCTTGAAGGAGATATTTTGAAACGTTTTGGGGTTTCCTTATACTTAACGACATACGCAGGAAACAGTATTAAATTAGTGTTCTAGAGTGCAAGTTGTTGATGTAAAGAAATTTTTTTAAGTGCTAAAAAATACTTTTTAAATTTAATTTAAACTATAATATTAATCAATATAAGCACTTAAGTGTTATTAATAATTAACAAAAGGGTTGTCATTCTTAATAAAGTGGAATATATTAAAATGTAAGTGTTGTCCTTTATAAGTTTAAGAAAAGTGTTATCCATAGATTCCTAACCTCAAAAGATTTTAAAAGGAACGGCGGCAAAGTTTTATTCAATACAATGAAGAAACAAATACCTAGCTATGTATATATATGTATTTAAATCTACAACATCTATATAATTGCGGTTCTAAACATTCTAAAAATCGTATAAAATTAATCTCAAAATATTTGTCTCTTAATTTTTTTTTTATTAGCTGCATTATAATGTTTATAAATTTTTTAAATGAAGTCGATGTTCCAAGTTAATGAACTCTTTTTATAATTTTTTTTATTTCTTTCGTCATTGCTTCCATTTTTCGTGACATTCACTTTTATAAATATGCAAAACTAACGGTAAAATAATATTTACCTTTTCAGCCCACGTTTGTTGTTTTTTGGTGATGTCACCTTTGGATTTTTTACCTTATGCAAAATAATGTTCCGATTGCGATTTTTTGACAAGTTACTTATCTTGAGTTTTCTTTTTAACTTAATTACGGGTAATTATTCATATTTACTATTATCAAAGCAAGTAGTAATTTTAATCACAAATTTTTTTCAGCTTTTGGAAAGCCGCAAATTTTCCAGTACTACCGTAGCACCAAGTACACAGATTCGCGACGTGTTGGAAAAAAAATATTCGAAAAAATACCAAATGGCATTAATATTTTTGAGATGAAACCACGTCCACCAAAGCGTGAAACAAATCTGCCCAGCGCCTATTATTATAATGTACCTAAAGGCGCCGATACGGCGGTCCCAGTCACGACCAGTAAACCACTGACTACATTACAATCAATTCCTTTTGTTGATTCTGACACTTACCGCTTATTCGGTAATATAAAAAATGAGATCGGTGTTTCAGTGGCGCGGCCGCAGGGTTCATTTTGTCGTCGTAGCTTTGATGGCAGAGCTGGATACTGCGTTTTGGCTTATCAGTGCTTACATGCCGTTAACAATTATCGTGTGCATCGCTCCAAATTAGACGTATGTTCATATCGGCAAAGTATACCAGTAATCTGTTGTCCGTTGTTTGTCAAGCATGTCGAAGCCAAAAGCCTCAGCGCAAGAAGTGAGTTCATTTTAAAAGATGTTCAAAGAATTTATTATGAAATTACTTTATCTGGTTTTAGAATGCGAGCAGTATAATGACATTATCGAAGGTGTCAAATTCGATTTGCCGCGCAAGTTTTCTGGGAAAACCTGTGTACCAAGTTTGCCGTTGATTGTAGGCGGCGAGGTCACCAATGACGGTGAATATCCCCACATGGTACTCTAAATTAAATACTTATTATAGCATATAGTGTATTGAAATTCTTTCCTTATCGGTTTTGCTTTTTAGGCCGCATTGGGTTGGTCTCAAATAGGCGAGGATATAAGATGGGGTTGTGGCGGCACACTAATAAGCGAGTTGTATGTGCTCACTGCCGCACATTGTGCAACATCAAGCGTGTAAGTTATAAAAATTAGATCAAGGAGTTAAAAAGAATTCATAAAAAACTTTAATTTTAGGAAGCCTCCTGATGTGGTACGCCTAGGTGCATCTAATCTCAATGAAATCTCAACCGAATTACAAGATATTGGCGTGGCTGTCATTATATTGCATCCGAAATATAAATCATTCTCCCACTATCATGATATAGCGCTGATAAAATTAGAGAGTAGTGTGAAAATATCCTCGAAAGTGCATCCAGGTTGTCTTTGGCAATTACCGAATATAGATATACCAACTATGGTTGCTACTGGTTGGGGACGCACCGCATTTCGTGGCTCTCGTTCCGATAAGCTACAAAAGGTGGAGTTGAGCATGATTGACCAAAATGTGTGTAAAAGAATATATAACAAAGAACGTCGTTTGCTAAACGGTATTACTAATGAGCAATTTTGTGTCGGTGATATGGCTGGAGGGAAGGATACGTGTCAAGGGGATTCCGGCGGACCATTGCACGCGGAATTACCGGAATTGAAATGTGTGAAGTTTATTGTTGGCGTTACGTCGTTTGGTAAGTTTTGCGCCAAACCAAACGCACCGGGTGTTTACACAAAAGTTTACCCATACCTGAAATGGATCGAAAGCATTGCATTCAAGGAAAACTAAATCCTGATAAAAACTGGTGAAAGCTGGCATAGATGAACTACAATTATTGCTTTAATTATTAATAACTCTTTATTTGCATTACGATTGTATGATTCCCCGTATCTTTTACATTTATGTACCTTATGTCTGTTTGCAATAGAATTTGTTAAACTTATTATAAACTTATTTTTGATGTACTTAGTACCTTTATTTTAATCAAAGAATTTTATTTGAGACACGTTTAATATACAATTTGCTAGTAAATAATTTAAGGGAGTAATGGTTAGTTAATAGTTTTCGGCCGATATATGTAGAACCGGACTCCAATGATGTTGTTGTTGTAGTGGTTATTTAATACACGGGGCATATATTTGGTAAGTCGGGGCCAAGTATGGATAACGGTGGTCGTTGAAGATGTTGTTGGCTCCACTGTGAACAGCGGTCAGTGGGTGTCTGAAGTTAGTTGTGCCCATAGCCTAGTTAGCGTATTGGTCAATGTTGTCGACGGAATCAAAGAGTGACCTCTTAATATTGGCTCCGCTTCAAGTAGACGACTGAAGAAACTGCTCGGAGAAGAGTGCATTGTGTTGCTTAAGCGGAAGCATGCAGTTTATCTCTGGCGTGAAGTCATGACTATACAGGTGTTCGACAGCAGACATCAAAAATCTTAGGATTGTTGACAGCTGGAAATTTAATGCCATCGACTGTGATACTAAAATCTCAAATCAAGTTCGAAAATATGCTTGATGTGGATTTAGTGTTCAGATTTTAGGCTCCTTGCAGAGAAGAATCATAGATCGTGGTAATCCTTAGTTACTTAAACTAACTAAGTTCTAAAACTATAAAGTGCGCTAGTTTTTATTTCGCTACGCAAACCGCCTTTTTTAATGATTAGAGGTTTTATTTAATTTTAATATCTCTGTAAATATGGCATTCGCCATTTAATCTACTACTATATATAGTTTATTTAACAACTGGCAACCTTGCAGAAATTAATGTGCAGTTATTTAAGTTCCACACATTTAGTGATTGACTGCCGGTTTTTCACTTGTTGATTCTTTTATCTTTTGCTTTAAAAATAGTTGCATGCAAATATGCATTTAAATACTGATAAATAGCATTCTCGACGTGTTAACGAATACAAAAAAGTGTATGAAGAGATCAAACTAACAATTTCAAAGGGAAAATTTCTACTAATCCGTTTACTTTATTACAAGTCGTTCCTAAAAGTCATTAAAATTAGGCTTTCTAAATATTGACACAATTAGATTGTTCTAATATTCGATGAAACAAGTGAATGGTAAGCGCAATCGACGCAAGTAAAACATCAAAATATTTTTTGTAAACAATCTACAACAAATTCGACAAATTGTCAGGGAGGAATCTACGTATTTCATCACAATCCACAACAGCATATAGAGTTGGTAAAGGGATTACCAACGTGAGATGTTGCAAATATCTTAGGTCAAGCTATAAATTTCCAAGATGATTGAAAATCACTGCGACAATAGTGGTAGTAGCAACGCCACTGTAAGCCCCATCAAGATAACAACCCTATCAGATACTACGATAAATATGAGGTGCGCATATTATTATTTTTTTATTACAAAAGCTAAATTAACAATTCTTACTTTGTTTTAGAACTGAAGAGCAACGACAGATTGGGGATAATAAATATATAACATTGCAACTTCACTCACAAGGATTGCAACAGTTCATAACGCAATCTCGAGAGCATAATAGGATTGGTATTACAACCAACCAACTTGACATTTTCACTTCAGAAGCTAATTCGGGATACGAACAGTTGAGTGAAGTGGAAAATATGAAACCGTTGCCATTAACACCAGAAAATTATCCTAATAGTGTTATAACCAAGTAAGCAGCAAATTACTATCTATATATTGTATTATGGGATTAATAGTATAAGGCCTATAACCTACATTCGCTAGTTTTAAGTAAATTAGTCCATTTCAATGCTTGTGACCTGAAAAGGTTTCAGCCAGTATCATTCACAATTTTCGTTCTAACAGAAATCAATTAATTCTTTTGGCCAAGAATTTGTTTACAAAACAATTATAGATAACTTAAGATATACATATAATAAAACGGTAACCCTGGCCTATGTACTTTGACAGCTGACATGTGGATTGTAACTGAAACGTCCGGTTGCCAAACTAACGGATTCAGTAAATCTTCAACTTATATCATTGTATAAGCCTAGATTTATACAATGACTTATATTTCAATTAACACAGCTTAATGAAATTATACAAAAGCTACTTCAATTTAATACTTTTAATCGGCTTTAGTATACCGATAGAGGAGATGCTCCAGATCAGGGATATATTTAACACTTCACTAATTCGTTTTAAGACATTTTTTTAATATTATATGATGCAAAAATTGTTTTTTGATGTTTAAATCATTAATTTTGACAATAACCAAGGGCTGTAAATGTCAAACAAATAGTGCTGCCATACTAATATATTTTGCAAACGAAGAAAAATAAAATAAGAGATTAGGTGTTGGTATTGGACTGACCAGGGTTATTTTTTTTTTGAAGCGCGGCCGAAGGCTGTCAATGCAAAAAGGAGTTCCGCGAAAAGACCTTGGTACACCCCGGTGTAGGACCGACCAGTGTTATTTTTTTTTGAAGCGCGGCCGAAGGCCGCCAATCTAAAAAGAAGTTCTACAAGAAAAAGTAACATTGTCATGAGGGTATAACATAATCCTTAACATCAATGCTCTACAATAGTTTTTTCCTCGGTTTTGGATTGCTGTATTTGGGGTATTATCGGCTTTCATTTCTTTCATTTCATTTACAAAAGATGTCGATAAGGTAACACTGGTTATTTGAAATTTTGCAACCCCTTTGTTATTGTCAGAAATCATAGAATTTAACAATAATTTAAATATAGAATTAAACTATTTTTCCGCTATATAATGTAAAATAAATATGTACAAACGAATTAGTGAAGTGTTAGTGGATATAAAATTGAAAAATATAAGTGTATAATTCATTTTAAATCGAAAAAATGCGTACTTTAAATAGTTAAAATTTTCAATTTTAAACGTAAATATCTCGAAAACTATAAGTTTCCCGCGGCTATATCCCCCCCATACCCATTTTATCCCCGAAAGCTTGGGACATTATACTAAAGTTTTTCCCTGTTAAAAACTTATTAATAATTTAAAAATGGTTTTATGACTGAAAATGAGGGAATAAATGTGTTCATAGGTACTTTTAGAAACAGTTGGTAACACTGCTATTGCGCAGATTCGGTTTTCTTTAATAATTGTTATTTACTTGCTGTGTATTTTATATTCTTCCTTTTCAACTTGGAGGAGTTGAAGAAGTTATTATATTTAAATTGGTAGTATTTTATTCGCTATGTCGTGGCATGTGATCAGGTAAATAGATGAAATTTTACCAAATATACTGGGTAGTGGACTAATTACATGGAGATAAAATCAAAACTTGAACTCAAAAATTCTTGAGCTGCCGCTTCACAAATTAAGTATAGTATAAAAAAACAATGTTTTATATGTGACGAAAGCTAGAAGCAGATTCGCAACTTTATAAATAAGTGCAGAGTTCCAACAATAAAGAATAAATCGGGTCTTTAGACTACGGCAACTACTGCTACTTATAACATTTTTACTCCTTACAGCGAATATTCTTGTAGCTCAAATCAAACTAATAAGGACACAGCTATGACAGATGTCGTTCAAGTTTCCGATGCATCCAATCCTTCTGACGAGCTCAACAAAGAGGAGGATATTATGTGAGTATTCTTCAGTAAAAACACATATTTTATATGACCTTGAAAATGTATAAAATTCTTGCAGACTAAGTGATGAGCCTTATCAATATCTACAAGAACTTAATGTAAGTAAAATAATACAAAATATTATTTGGTATTGATAATTTATAATAACTTGTTAATTTCTTTACAGTCGGATAATCTTATGCAGTTCAGCCAGGTAAGCAAAACCTCTACTCCTTCAACTTGTTTACTTTAATGAAAAACGTAACGTGAGATCACTTTGCACGAATATGAGCAAAAAGCTTGTAACCGCTGATAGCACCTAGCATATAAAGAGTGTGAGGCATCAATAATATTTCTGAGCAACATATGTATTTATTCACTTACATCTTGAATGAGGGAAATATTTATTTCCATCAGCCCAAGTGGTTGAATTTTATATTTTGTCACCAAGACAAGCAACGAAAATGCTTCCACCGATTGCTTGAAACGTAAATCTGCATGTGTCAGATTAATGCGTTGTAGAATCAAGCCAGTTTCTTGCACCTGTAAGAAAAATTCATTACCTAACATTGCTAACAATTTCCTTTTTTTTTTTTAATCAATTTCCACCTTAACTACGTTATTATCGCTAATTTGCGCCTGTAACATCACTTCAATTACAGATATAGCCAGAAAGACTGCATTAGTTGAAGCTTGAAACACATCATAGGGCTCATTGTTTACCAATGTTTCAGCAATAGCTAAATATTGCCTAAAACAACCCACTGTGATGCCGCACAAATTACAAAGCAAAGAACAAATCAACGGCGCCGAAAGCAATTGCAGATACTTTGTCATTTGCCTGCAAATAATGTCGTATTTTTGCGCGAGCAAGTCCAAACGATCAGCCAAGTCGCAAAAGCGCTGCATACGATAATATGGCTTGTGCAAACTCATCTGCAGTGTACTTTGCATGCAGTTAACCTCATTGACAATTTCACATAAACGTTCATTCAATGTTTCCACAAGCACTTTGCTAATAACTAATGCGCTAAAGAAAATATTTGGAAACATTTGCGCGAGTATCAAAGGCAAGACTGTATATAAAGTCCACAATAAATGTTTATCTGGTTCGTTACGTATTTGTTGTAACAACAATGTCACCTCGTATATGACAGGTATTAGTAAAGCTTTAAGGATAACCAATCTAACCGATACCATCACTGTTCGCGCGCTGACTTCGAAGAATTTTAGTGTATCAAAAAGTGCGACTGTATTAAAAAATCGCACAAATGTCTTTGACAGTATGAGTGCTGTCAGATAATTGATAATGACTGATATAATATTCATGTAACTGTATAGTTTAGTAACATTTTCCAAATCAAATTCGTCGTTTTTCCAATCGTTCAGCATACTTTGACCGTATGACACTGTGAAAGTGCTTGCAATTGCCAATGCATACATTGCTATTATATAAGAATGGTAAAAGCGACCTTTGCTTAGTGATATGCCATGCGCTGAAAAACCGAATAACATCAGATTTCCAAAAATAATTCCAACACATATTTTGACCCATTTCAAATGCTGCATTTTGTTTTTCGTTGTTAATTTAGAATTTCTCTTTTACGCTTTAAAATTTCAGAAATTTTAACGATTCTTTCTTAATATTTGTTTGTTTTATTTGCTTTCCCAGGGCGCACTTCAGCAGTATCAACTCGAATTGGTTTAAACATATGGCAAATGAATGTAAATAGCTGTTAATTGCTATTTAATTGTTTGTTGTTATCTGCAAACCATATCTAGCGGTTTCCCTCCCCCCTATTACTTTATTTCCAAATGTGTTTGCCATGCGCGTCGTTGCTCTGCTGTTTAATGAACCTAAATTCATATACGGTTTGGATATCACCCTGTTGAAAAATCTAACAAATTTAGTGCCTCAAACTAGAAATAATAACTAACAAGACAAAAAACGTTGCACCAAAAGCTATAATACCCTCAATTTTGATCAATTAGTTTGTATGACAATAGTGATCCCAACTGAAAAATATGTGTGAAAGCTATAGTATTGCCTTGGACAAAAAATTCACGCCAAACTTCGTGAAGATACCTCTTTAAATAGAAAAGGGTCTCCATATAAAAACTTGATTTTGAACGTGAACAATTATTAGGGCGTGAATTAATTGTCGAATATTGCAAAAGTCAATATTTAAGTTTTCTGGGGAAAAAGTCAAAAACAACTACTTATTTTTAAAAAAATTTCATGAAGTCGAACAAATAACTATTAACATATTTTTAGTTAAATCTTTTCTATATTTAAAAAACAAAATATTTCGTTTCTCGCTAATAAAAATAATTTACAAAGCCATAAGCGACATCAGAAATATTCAAAAGCTTTTCCGAGGTCGTTGGTTGCCTCTGAGCAGTCCTCTTTTGCATTATTATTATTTGTTGCTGTATTTTGCTATATGTATGGTATATATTTTTGCCAGTAAGGCAATAGATCACACGTTGTCGACTCTCTGATCATCAGCACAGCTTAAATAGACAAAATACAATAATATTCACTATATTCATTAGCATCATTATGTTCATTATTATCTTAAGCTGATATTAACATTTACATTCAGCTTTATGTTTACTACAATGCCTTCTAGGAATTGTGGACTTAAGATATAAAATTATTAAAGTTAATATGTGTACAAATATGTATATATGTATATTAAGAAAACGGTAGGAAATCTGTAACGATTTAATGATCTTATGTACCTCTTGCTCTGACGACAGTTATGTATAAATAATTATTAAACATAATAACCTGTGAGCAGCAAAAGTCAAAACAACAACCACTAATTAGTTCCTCCACAAGTTCTCTGCTAAATGCATTAAAGGGTTACATGGGTTTCACGACTTCAAAAACAAATTATTGTCTTATTTAATTCTATAACATCTCTAATATTGTCCTAAATTTTCAAGTTGATCCCAGTAATAGTTTTGGAGATACACTCAAAATTTTAAACGTGTTTTTCTCGAAACTGTATTTTCAAAGTCGGTTGTCAAGAATTCGCGCGAACTACTCAACCGATCTTAATGAAATTTTACACAGGTCTTTAAGCTATAATTTAACATGTCTTGAACGAAGGATTTTTTTTTGTTTAATTACAACTATTTAAAAATCAAAAAACGTCGAGAAGTTTTTACCTAAATTTCATTTTTTTTTTGTTGTAAAAATTGCTTCAAAAATACAGTTTTCACTTTATTTGTTTTTCTCCGTCCAATATCTAGTGGTCTAGACCAATGGTTTTAGTTCAAACACGTATTTTTTTTTTACTTTTGATGATCCTGTCAGAAGTTCTGTTGTCAACGTAATTTTTTTTCCGAGGAACTGCCGGAATTGACGTCGTAAAGAGCGTGTTTTGAATTTTTTCCTTTGAAAACTTCACAAAATCTTGATCAAATATTTATATTCGGAATAATATAAAGTTTGAATAAAATATTTAATTTTTTATATGGAAAAAAAAAATATTAATAATTGGGCGGTTTTTGCTCGACGAGACTCATGTAACCCCTTAAAGAGTAACAACGAGTGTGAGACTTTTAAAAGGGCGATTTTTAATGCTTCTTAATTTTGGAAGAAAAAAGTTTAATATTTTTTGAGTAACGCGCGATCTTTGACGGCGCTAAACAAAAGGTCATTCACTGTTGCAGGGATTCCGGGTTTCTCCGTGAATAAAACTAAAAAAAAGTCTAGACTAGAAAATATTGCCCGTACAATGACCGTTTTCAAGAAATTTTGACCTGCTAAACAGAAAATCATGATATTAATCGAAATGTGTCCGAGTAATCGCTCAAACAAATTTGAAAAATGCTGTTTCGAGAAATACGCGCTTAAAGCCAAACTGTTGGAGCTGATTAAAGTAACCGGCTACACTTTGGAAGACTGTAACTAAAAAATATTAAAAATATTCATTTTAAACTTCAGTATCTCATTTTTAAAGGTATCACCTATCGAAATATGAAAAAAATCTTACCTCTTAGCATCTGTTTGACATTGAGTGCTCTTAGAATCACTGAATAATAGGTTTAAGGTTTAAGGTTTAATGGAATATTGATGATATACAATTTTTTAAGTCCCCTTGATATATTTATAACATCGGTGTCGTGTAGAGTACTATTATAGTAAATTACATAGGATCACAAGTTTTTTTTTCGCTCAAGTTGTAAAATTTCTCACAAGGGTGCTCACAGAACTTTCGTGTATTTCACCAGAAGCTTCAAGTATTTTCACAAGCTTATCTGTCTTTATCGCATTATCGTCATTAAACGCACCGGTGACGTAACGCGTATAGTAACACCACTACATGCAAAGCTGTTCAAAAAAATAAAATAAAAATTGTAATACAAAAGGAGAGCAGCCAACGAGAAACAATAAATTTGTTTACAAACAAACTGAAATTGTGAATGAAATCTAAAATTTGCTTAGTCAGTAGTTTTGTGTGTGTATGTGTGCATGTGCGTTCTATGCAAACTGAGTTGTTCTTCTTCAGTGAGTCGAAAGGCCAGTTAGTTGTTAGTTAGTTGTCAACTGCAGACCAAGCAAGTGTAAGAAAATGAAGTTACTACACATGTGCCGCCGATACGAGCAATATGTAAATAAACAAGTGAAGATAAACAAATATTTTTCGAATAAACTGGCAAAATACAATATTTATAAAAATAACTCTTTTTCTTTTCCGCAGCAATCGGCTATACAGGAGTTAATCATGAAGCAGCAATTGGATGCTAAGCCGGTGAGTTTCCGCAAATATTTTTAATAAATCATTATAATTTTATAATATTAATATTTATTATTTAATAATCACACAGAATTTGGACATATTGCCCACATTCGAGGAGCACGACATTGGCGGCTACAAGTTCAACGTGCAAATTGGTAATAACACTCAAGCCAAAAAGAGTTGGATGTACTCGCCCAATCGCAAGAAGCTCTACATACGTATGAATGAAATTCTTTCATTGGAGGCTGTGTACGTGCCCAAGTTGCCATTGCAACAGCTACGCGTGCGTGTGCTCATGAGTTTTAAGAATGAAGTGAGTGAGCCAGTGGTGCGCTGTCAAAATCATCTCAGCAAGGATACCGGTATGTTTACACTGTGAATTTGGGGGGTGTCCAATCAAGTTTTGATATAGCTTTATACTTTCAACCACCTTTCAGAGTCACATCAAAAGCGCCGTCACAGCTTACTGCGCTGTGAAAATCCTACTGCTGAGTATTGCGGCACAGCTGATGGCAAAAGCATTAATGATCGTTACTCGATTTTAATACCATTGGGTCTCAGTGCCATGCCAAAGAATGACAGTTCCATTTCACAAACGATCGCCATAAAGTTCACTTGTCAGAATTCCTGCGTTGGACGCCGTGAGACAAGCATAATATTTCTACTAGAGGGCATGAGGTGAGTAGGTGCATTGTGTGCTCTGTGGTGACAAAGCAAATCAAAATCAAAAATTAAAAAAAAAAAAAAACAACAACAATATAAAATACCTTTGCACTTATCAAGTAGGTTTGCGAACATGTTACTGCATGCTACAATGCATATACATATATGCATGTATGTATTTGTGTATGTGTACGTGTACTGATTCATTCTCTATTTACGTTTAGTGGTGAAATACTCTCACAACGCGTGCTGGATGTCAAGATTTGCAGCTGCCCCAAGCGAGACCTCGAAACTGATCAGCGCAACAGCACAGTTCCATCCAAACGTAAATCTAGCGGAGGTTTGTTTGCACTGAATTATTTAATATATAATTTAATTAAGAAAAAACTTTAAGCTCGTTTGCACCGAAAGTTTAATACCCTTCACAAATAAAAAAGTTTCCATATAATAACTTAATTTTGATCGTCAATTTGTATGACAGCTATATGCTATAGTGGTCCGATCTGAACAATTTGTTCGGTGATTATAGCGTTAACTTGGGCAATAATTCATGCAAATAAAGAAGTTTTCCATACAAGAACTGGATTTTGTTCGTTCTGGTTGTATGGCGGCTATATGCTATAGTGGTCCGATATTAGCGGGGCTGACAACTGAGCAGCTTCTTGAGGAAAAAAGGATTTGTGTAAAATTTCAGATCGATATCTCTAAAACTAGCGTATATACAGACAGGCAAACGGATATGGCTGAATCGATCCAGCTCATCATACGGATCATTATATGTATATACATATATTTTATAGAGTCTGCGATGTTTTCTTCTGGGTGTTACAAACTTCGTGCAAACTTAACTTAACTTATTCGGGGTATAAAAATTAATAAACCATGTCTTTGTTGTTGCAGAAATGCCAAGTCGCAGAACGAAATTTATGAAAAGCGCCGCTGACAGCAGCAAACATGCAAAAGCTTTAAAAGATGAGGACACCAGCAGTGATTTGGAGAACAGTGATAGCGGCATTAGTACTGCGCGTGATATAGACCTGCAACCAACACCAAGCGGTGGCTACCGCCTTGTCATTGAGCTCAATAAAGAGATGATGCAGAAAACGGTCGAATATGTGAGTCAAGTAGCTGCGCTTAAAATTTTCAATGAACCACAACAGGCGAAGCATTATAATAAAATGTGTCGACAGCTAAGTCGATATACAGGTTAGTTAAAGATTAGCTAAATTAAGTGTTTATTATTTATTAACCATGGCTTTCTCTTTTTTTTACAGAAAAATTGCAGAGAAAATAGTTGTGATTGCAAATTTTTCGTAAAAATGCCTTTACTGTGTAAATAGTTAGTTATAAGTAATGTGAGGTTACGTTGTAAGATTTTGTTTTATGGTTTTGTTGCGTCCATGTTTTGTCATGTACCCAGCTTGTAGAGTGTATGCATTTATTTCCTTGTGAAATGTTTGGCACTACGCGTCTACATGTATTTCCTTTTTTTTTTGTTCGATTTTTGTTAACTGTATGTATTTTTGGTCTTTCGGAAATATTTCAATTCCTGCTTTGAAATATTCTGTTTAAGTGCTTTAATGTGTGTAAGTTTTAAGTGATACTTATTTTTGTTGTTAAAATACATATGAGTTCTTAATTTTTGAGTTTACTCAAACTCATAATTGAAGTATTTTAAAGTGAATTAAACTTTAACTGTGAATGATCAATTTTTTTTTCTTTTACAAAAATAAATAAATGAGTTGCCACTCGTGTAAAAAACACTTTATATAATAATATTTGTCCATTTATATTTTTAGTCAAATGTGATTTCAATTCTATTTATACTATTTAAGGAATTTTTTCACATAAAGCCCATCACCGCAAAAAAATAGGTATATTAACGTACCAACATTCCCATACAAAACATATGATTTATACATTAGCAAGCTTGTAAATTACCTAACTGCACAGCACAACAACTACTTATTACTATTTACTAATGTTAGGTTTGCTTGAGGGGTAATATTCACTTGCGAATCGAAAAAATCCGTATGTTTTGTGATTTCTTTTTTGAAAAGGCATTTTATATCAAAAATAAAGTAAAAATAATGTACATTTACAGAATTTAATGTATTTTAATAATCGGATTCATATTGAAAATATTTGAATTGCCTTGAATCCTTAGCCGATCTTCTGGGGGACCTTCGAAATAAGGTGTCTTCGCCTAGAAAGATTTTTCTGCTTAAAATTAACTTAAATCCCCAAATTAAAAAAAAACTTTATTATTACTATGTATGAATGCAGGCAATGATCGAAGAATAAGCCAAAAGTTTGATTTTTGAAGATATGGCAGCTTGCCAAAAAAGTATTTATTTGTGAAAATTTTGCACTTCAGTTTGACAATTATTATTAGAAATCGTATTGCTTTGATCATTATCTGAAATATATATAAGCCGGTCGTGTGAACATTTCAAGTCGATCGGTTTAGCCGTTTCGAAGAAAGTTTCCTTGCGAACTCTGAAAACATCGTTTCGGAAAAAATGCGTATAATGTTTTTGGAGACGTTTACATTAAGTTAAAAAATTCTTAGAAAGGCGCTCATATCTCCGAAACTTTTGCCGAATCAACTACAAATCCTAGACTATTCTCAAATATGTATGTTTTCAAAATATATATGTATATATGCAAATAAAAAATCGATTTTTTGAAATTCACAAGTGGATATAATCACATTAAGAACACTACTTAAAAAATTGTCATAAAAAAGCGGTGTGAGTTGTAAGTTTTTTTTTCCTTAAGCTACAAGTTATTGAACTTCCAAATCTAGAACTGATTTTCGAAATATATTTAACTTTTACTTTATGTTTATGAATTCTTTGTTTTAGTGTCAAATGTGGCCAAAAGTATATACATATGCAAGTATATGTGCTATGGCAATTATCATTAAGTTATAATTTTATGAATTCTATGTGCCTTTTATGTTCTTCGCTAAATGTTTACAAATTAAAAAACTTAAATAAACAATGATATTTGCTAATCAAAGCATCGACATTCAATTTGTTTGAATTGCAATTCTATAAGACACTTCAGCGATTATGCAGCTGAAACCAAGTTTTTATGGGTTTTATATATTTAAAATAGTGGACTTCATGTTGTTATATAAAATGGATACTTTTCGATTAGGTAGAGCAGATAGTCTTGGTATAGTAAATCAGTCTTTCAATATACCTTAGGTTTGGGAGCTAGTAGTCGTCATGGATATTACGGTGTTCTCGTTTGTGTTACTCACGTTTAAACATCGGTCCATTGAGTTGTCAAAAATGAATAAAAATGGATCAAGATGCTCTCATACATATGTACAATATATCGACGAAACGCTTTGTGACAATTACAAATCGACAGATTTCTATTCTAGGCAATTCACGACATCCAATTTGATGTTTTCTTCCAGACAACATTGACATTTGGATTCCGTCAAATTTTTTAAAATCATTGCTTATTGTATCAATTAAAATACCTAAAACTGATGCAAAATGAACACTGCCGAGAGCAAAAAGTTCAATAGATCTTTTTGCGTTCTACTTTGACCAGCAGTCAGCAAGCTTATGCGAACTAGAGCAGGTTAGATTGCAAGAGGACTGCGAAGCCTCCTATTATGCTCGGTAGAGTTCTAACATAAAACATCCCTGATTTTGAATACGTAAATACTATTTAATGAATATTAAACGAAGAAATTTTGAATTTTTGAAAGGAAATCGGAATAGCATAAACGAGACCACAAAATATGTTGCTTAAATAAAACTTAGATATTTCAGTTTTCGAGTTTGGGTCAAGGTAACTGGAATCGGTCCGGGTTTCAATTCGGTCAAAGGCTGTGAAGTCAACAGAATTCCTAAAAATTATTTGGGGAATGTTGCTTGTTATACATACGTCTTGTAGTTGATATTTAATGTAAGAATCCTCAAAATCGATTCAAAGCAATGTTGGTCAGGCTCTAGTCATCTAGTATTTATTTTTATTGTAAATAAATAATCGATATTATTATCTGCTAACTTTTAAAATTTTTTTTTGCTTTAGTCCCTATCCCTATCGACCAGATCTAATCAACAGCGCTGTTATGATGCGGTAATTATTTTCTTTTTAGCGATCAGAAAGTCGATAAATAAATGTTGGATGTTAAACCACTTTGCATGAACTCAGGAGTACTATCCCAAAGCTGAGAGCAATTATCAGGAATATCTGATATCTTAATAGGGAAGAAGCATCTGTTGAGTAAACTCTCTGGGTGGGTAAGTAATCAAGTTTTATCTGTTTTCGTGTATAAGAAAATACGCCAAGCTACCTGTACTCAAAAGGTGTTTGAAAGCTGTGTTGAAAATATAGTTATTTCTTTCAAATGAAGAAAGCTGAGTTCGAGAATGAGAAATAGAATGTGTCGCTATTCTACAAGATAGCGCGACGACACACAGAAGTGAGACCTGGTAAAAGCCCATAGTTTGCAGATAGTCAAATTAAAAAAAATTCAAGGAAAAAAAGTAAAAATTTGATCTTATGATTGTGACGTAGGAACTGCGAGTTCAGCAATTTATATGATGAATATATGAAGGATAAAGAAGAAAATACTCGGAGTTGTGTAAGTCAATATCCACCATCTATTCTTCTTATGGCTTCGCAACAAGTCGTTCTGACCATTTTAGATTTCGTAGACAATTAAAAATTAAATTTGCACAGCTCTAAAGCTTTGCATAAGCCATATGTGGTACACTTGACCTAAGAAGCCGTTGATGGGAGTAAATTTTCACCAAATAGTCGAGATTATCGGACGAGAATTTGGAATGGAATCCGGAAGCGACCCACTTCTTACAATCAAGTCTGTCCTGTGGTGGGACTAAATATGAAATTTTGGGTTAGATAAGTCTTCATTTAGGGTCTCAAACTGGGCGTTGGGTTGAATTCACATATGGTATATGGCACAAGCGCACAAGTTAAGAAAGAAAAGAGAGGCATGTTGGATCTGTATTTTGATGAAAGGTTTTATTATTACACTCAGTACGACGGATGTGGACTTGAGCTATAATTTTGAAAGTCATTTACTTATTCAAACAATTTCTCCGTAAACTGTCTCCACTACATCAACATTTATTATTTGGTTTAGTACCCATAACTCATACATGTAGTATATTTTCTCTATCACTTTTTCCTGTATAGATGTAAGTACGTAGGCACTTTAGGATCAGTTGCCACATATGTGCACCAGAGAAGCCATTGAACTTTTCCTGCAATTGGAATTGCAAAGACTTATAACTTTAAAAAGTTTATTACTGTCACGGCTAGACTGCTAGAGGCAGCAGCATATGGATAACTTAGTACTAGACGATAATAAGAAACCACAAGAATGTCATCTGCAGCATTCAATTTGTTTGTTGCAGCAAATGTCTTTTGCATGCTAATTTCATGTTGCGCATGCGTGCTGTTGCACGCGTTGCAACATATGTAAGAAAAATGTTATGAATATATACATATAAACATACATGTATAATATATATGCTCGTATGTGCATAGAACACAAATAATGATAATTGCACAGATGCTGAGTTGCAATTTTTAGCGCAAAATCTGTTTTGCCACATGTGGCGTTGGCACATGCAACCACGACGCATTGGCTGGCCATTGACCTATCCTAATGTTGGTTTCAGTGCGACAACAGGCAAAAGTATCTGTAGCGATGGCTTGCCATTTGAAGTGTATTACTGAAGGTAGTGGTGAGCTGTGAGAGCAAAAACAAAAACAAAAAAAATACTAAATTATTGTATATATGCTGAAATAGTTTTATATAACAAATATATTTTTTAAGTATATACATATGTATGTAAATACACCACTTCGCATAAAAAGCTCAAATTACTGACCAGATACACTAAAACCGTTCTTTCGTATACGCGCATGCGCGCCTGCAGCAGACATGAGCAAAAACGTTACAAGTACCAAAAAAAAAATTTTTCAAAAATTCAGTTCCAATCGAACACATTATTATTATTGGCAAACGCGCAATTATGGCCACAAGCCAAAAGTAAGTAAGTCACAAGCTTGGCTTATGTGATCACTGCGCTTTCAAATACCTAGCCGTTTGACGTATTGACACACATGCATACATAGGCGTATATGTAAGACCAGTTGACAAGCGCTGCCTCCGGCCAATTCGGGCGGAAGACCTGTTGTCGTTCGCTGCGCTGTTGCCATTTAAGTTTTAAAGCCTTTTACAGCGCTTCCAAGCTCTTTGGGCATGAGTTGTGCGTGTTGGCGCGTGAGCGGCATAAAGATAATTTGTATGTATCTGTTGTAAATAAAAAAAGGCCCGAAAAGAAAACAACAATTTTATTATTGAATCGTATAAACAAGGCGCAACGATCAGCAGTAAGTTATTTTCCCTTCCAAGCTTCGTCTTTCACCTGACAACAATTCTCTTCCATAGTCATAAAAACTCTCAAATAAAGTTATTACCATTAGTAGTTCAATCGTCTATTGAATTGTCTATTGAGACGCACCTGCGCAATGCGTACGACCGATTGTCGTGAAGTATTTGTTTGCTTTTTCATTTAACTTTGCCTTTTATGCCCATTTTGTGGCAATTATGACGTTCAAATGTCTTTATCATTAAGTGTTTAAGTGCTGCTTTATCTGATTATGCTGAAACCAAGTGGGTTTTGTGCTGCAGCTTTTTCATTTCCTTTATTTTCTACTTAATAGATGTATATATATTTATATATACATATTATATGTATTAACTAGGCATATGCAATCGCTGAAGTTGAGCCGAAAATCAAAAACAAAAAATAAAATACTCAAGAGCAACAGCAGATAATGTTTCTAATGTGAATACCATAAGTAAAGTAGCAGTCTTTAATTTTTGTCTTGAAAACAGACCTCTCACATAATTTAGTCCACAAATCGTTTTCAGTTCATCTACCACATTAGATAGTTACGAATTTGTCGCCGATTTCCGGTTTTAAACCCTCTACATTGGTACCTTAGCGGAAGTAATACCTAGCGAACTTAGAATCTACTTATAGATGGGGAATATGCTATGACGGCCCTAAATGAGACCTATGCTAGTTCAAACCGAAGAAATGGTTGTCGACCTTATTGCAAAATTATGTCTATACTGACTCTTAGTTTGTAATGCAATAAGGTTTTTGGACTAGCATCACATACTTAGTATATGATTTGGACCTTGAATGAATGAGCGAACGCAGCTATTCGGCACATTTAAGTTCAAAAAGTTTGTAGCTTCCAAGTCTTGTGACTACCATAAAGAGTTTGCTTGTAAGTGAAAGCACTGACTGTTTAATCGAACACTGCCGATGCTGGACTTGGAAATGGACAAACTAACTTCATTAAAAAAGTACTTATTGTTATCGGCACATTTAAATTAATGAGCTTTTTTTCAATACACAATATTTTGTGTGCATTTGTATGCTGATTGCCTCACAGTGCTTGCCCAATTTGGATGGAATGCTGGTGAACATCATTGGACAGTTTTGCTGCGTCTGTTATGGCTGTTACAAGCTTTGGGAGCTTGTTGTGCTCAAACCACTTCACAATACTCACTCATTATTGAACGCTGCGCTAAAAAGCACTCGATCACAATGATCGTTACTGGAGAAGCTCGCCGAACGCGTGGAGAGTGAGTGGAGCGTTGACGACGTTTTGAATTTCACGAGAAGGCCAAGACACCAGGCCAGCTACCAAGCACACTACGAACGTTAAGATAACAGCGGCGTAGCAGTGAGAACAAAAAAAGAAAAAGCAAAAATAACAGCACACATCTCAGCAGTCTAACACTCAACACGGGGAATATTGACTTAGCTTTTTTTGTTATAGATCGAGAAGCATTGCGGGGAGTTTTGCCATTTGTGGCGTTTTAATGCCAACCTGACTGACCGGCAGGAAAGCGGGCACCATTTACAGACGCGCAGAGCTGAGTACGATCACCAAAGCAACGAAAAATTATGATAATTAAAAAAGTTTGAGTCAAAAAGTAACGAGTTGAGTAGAAATTGAATTTTGTGTGCATTACAAATGGCACTCGGAGCGATTGTGAACGCAACTAGCTCGACGACAGGCGGCGCGACACTTGCGATTTACGTGTCGAACGGGTGAGATTGTCAAGATCCAAAGCGCGCGCTCGGTTACCAACGCCAAGATCACTTGAGTGACAACAACAGCAATAAAGTTGGTACTTTTATCACACAATGAACATAGAAAACAGTTAAGAAATTCCAGCAGAAAGAAAAGCGAAAACTATAAATAATAACAAGCAAGAGCAAAAGTAAATAAAACACAACAAATATTTGAGAAACAAGATCGCCAACGCGACGCGTTTCAAATCATATTATATTTTGGGTGACAGTGCGTGCGTAGATTCCGCGAGTTCTGAGTGTGCGAGTTGGCCAATAAGTGTACAAGTGAAATCAGAAGACGCAGTTAGTGCAGAAGAGTTTGTGTTTAAAAATACATTTTATTTTAGTTTTAATTTTTTCGTTTGCAAACTGAAAGCGCCAAAGTTTTTAGGTAAAATGGTCGAGACTGCAAAAATAACGACTTTTACGCGTACGACCACTGCCGTGCCAGCGCCTGCCTCAGCACCAGCAGCTGCAACGACGCCAGCAATCGCGCCCGTCACAGCAGCATCCGCTACGCCGACACCGACAGCAACAACGGCGGCCAGAAATGCGCAAGGTAACGATGAGACCGCGCGTGGCATCTACAACCTGAAGGTGATCGTTTTCTTTTTGCTGCTGCCGCTGATCCTGTTTGCCGTATTTCTAAAGCATTTGCTCGACTACCTGTTTGGGTTGGGCGAGAAACCGAAGGATGTGCGCGGCAAAGTCGCTGTGGTGAGTGAAATTGTAGAGCGCGCGTTGGGTGTGCGGGGGAAATATGGCACAGGTGCGGACCAAGCGTCTTGAAAAACCATGCAGAAGTGTAGTAATGGTGGGGGAAGCACCTGAATGGTGTAAGCGCTTGATAAAGTGGCGTGGTGAGAGTATCAGTGTCAGTTCGGAAAAAAAAAATACATAAAATATTACCAATGGGAAAGTTTTAATGAGCAACGGAAGCAATTCACTTAGTTTATATGACGCTGTGCGACACAAAAACGTCAACGATTTGAATTTTTATTTATTTCGCGGGAGAAGTGGGTTTTATATGCTTTGTGAACTGATATTGCTGATATTAGGAGAAAATTTCAAGATCGGATAAATTCAACATATATATATATAATATACGGTTAAATACAACTTCCTTAAAACCGTAATATTTTCATTTCTAAGTGTAGGGCAATGTAAGTGTTATGATTTTCGAAGGTATCATTCCATTAAGTTAAATGCTATTGTTTTGCAAAAAAATATTTATACGCAAATTTTTTTTGAGCATTTTGTTTAGATACAGTACTTCGTTTAACTAAGGATATATTCTAGTCTAAAGGTTCGAATTCTAGTGCTTTTGCTGATACCAATTGCTAAAGTGAAAGACCTTATTCGATCTTTGCCAGTCAAATTATGAAATATTGCTTTTTAAATTAAACCTATTGGGAATTTTTTTTCTTTTCGAGCGGAGATTGATACTAGCCATATTAGCTTAAAACCAACATATGAGAGCATTGGGTAAAATGTTTCAAGGTCCAGGAGTTACAAGTATATCATACTGTTGATTCCCCACTTTTGTTTTTGAGACTATTTATGTTGCTTTCCAAATCGACTATTATAAATTTCTCAGGAATTTCTTTCAGTGTTATCTGAGGGTATTCTCCAATGTTTCGATACAGTTGGGTCTATTGATATAGCCTTTGAAGTGAGTTTTCTATTATTAATAATCATGAAAGAGGTGGCAGGAAAGAAGGAAGGTTAGTTTTAATTACTTGACCCAAAAAAATAACTTTTTATGTCGGTTATAATTTATGATGCCTGCGGTTGCCATCACAGTCGGGTCTACGCAACTGGAACGAACTCTGATATATAACTCCCCAAAGACTGTCGACTTCGACAGCATTGCTAAAAACTAGTTAGGAAATATTTTTTAGCCTTTACAACAACAACAATGTGCATATTTCGCAAACGTGAATGTAAGTGCGTATCCTGAGTTTGTTTCAAATAGTTAAGGGCCGAAAAAATTAGGATCAGTCCTGACCTTGCACGTGTGATCCATTTCTTTGTTTGCTAACTCATGAACTGTTTTTTTTGGAATTTAAATACTGTTTGAATTGTCATAAATCATTTCGAATGTGATCAACAAACTTATAAACTAATTTATCCAGTTTAGAGTTACGGTTAGCAGCCAAGGCAATAAATAGTTGAAAATTATTGAATGACTTCGGAAGTACTTTTCGAAATGTAACAATCTTTACATAACGCGATGATATTGTAAGGCTAATGATGACTCTTAAATGATGTAAAGAGTACACAATAAGTGTCACCGGAACTCTTCAATTTCTTTTTATTCACTGAAGATTTGGGTTCGTTTCCTTGATTTCTTCTCTGAATAGATTTAGTTCTCGGTAATACTTAGTAACTGTTTCATTAATATTTCAAACTCACCTCATGTCCACCAACGAAATATGCTGTCTTCTGTAAAACCTAAGATAATTGTCAATCGTGTTAGGACGAAATACTGCTACTGAAATATTATATTATATTTTACTTTATCATCCGACTAAAGTAATAAGCTAATGAATACATTAATATAAAATAAAATTATAATAAATAGCTGCTATCTCTGGGAAATAAAGTAATAATATTCAAACTAGCATTAATATTCCCATTGCGCTTAATATTTTCTTCACAACACCTTTGCTACCTATGTATTCCCAATAGCGATTAGATCATCAGATTCATTTCGGATTCATCGGGCTGACTTAACGCATCGATGCGTGTGTAGTCAACAGCTGCAAGCAGTCGCTGAGATACTAGCCGCTCCCCAAATTATTATATGCATTGTCATAACGTTTTGCTTAATAATATTGCTCGTGCTAGCTTCTTATATATTCATATACATATATATATCTTAGAACATATGTAAACATAAGTTTCTGCCTGTACGTATTTCCAATGAGAAAACTTTTCGGAAAAGCAATTAAAACTATTAGCATATCAGGTCGCTGGTCATGACTTCGTTAAATAACGTTCTAGCGACTTTAATAAGAATTTTTCAAAACGCGCCTAACAAAAAGTTGATTCGAGTTCACAGCGGCTTGGGTGTGGCGCAGCGCGTTTAACCGCTTAGCAAAGCATGAAAACAAAAGTGAAAATATTTATTTGTCAATTGTATACAAAAGTTTGTCTTTATTCATTTAATAAAAATTAGTTACAAACACATACAACATACACACACATGTATATGCATATGTGTTAATGTGACAGTAGTGTGTTTGTTTGTTTGTTTGTTTTCATAATTAATTTGGTAACTCTATCGGGTTTGTTGACGGTCAACTAACTGGTAGTCCCGACTATAGCGGGAAATGAACAGATTTGTTTTTATTTTTGATATAAAAAGTAAGCAAGTTTCTGTTTATTCGAGTAACAACTTTAATTAACAGCACTTTTATTTATTTATAAAATCAACTGGAGGCGAATGAGTAAGCGAAACGGTATTGAATTTTTGCGTAGCGCGTTTTTGGTGTTTTTTTTGCTTTTTTGCTTGGCAAATGAGACAGGTGCTCAAGGTCAGTCCCGGGAAGTGGCAACGGCTTGAGGAATGTTGCGCTACGGACGTGCTAAACTATGCATATTTTACTACCCATCCCTGCCCTATCCGCTTGCTTTTCACGCTTGTTTACATAAATACTCGTGTGTCCATATGTATGTCGTGATGCCGCATAACTCAATAGAAACCTGTTTCTTCGTGACGTGCTTGCTCACTTCATATACAACTAGTACTCGACAAATGTTAGTCTCAAAACCAATCGTTTACTCATTCTCATCATTCTCATATACTGGAGCTTCGCTAAGAATCCGGCATTTGTACTTGTAGCTCGTTTGCGCGTCTCTCAGTTGTATGATGTGTCAACATTATACTTCCAGTTAATGACGTTTCTGCAACACTCACTCATCGATTTCAATGCCTCAAAGCTGGCAGTTGTCCGGCATTTTTGTGAACTTGATTTTAACGATATGTGCTGGTCGATTTTACCCTTATTTGTGTATATGCGTACCTGTAGGCGCTGCTCTGTTCACATGAGTCTACCCAATGTTAGTAACTAGTTAAACTGTGTCCAGTTTGTAGTTAGTTCTACTAATATTTCGGAGTAAAATAAACCGATATCGTAAGTGCAAGCGTAAGAAAAGCATCATGGATATTATAATATGCAGTTCGGAAAGCTCTATCGACTTCAATTCACAGATATTCCTACGGTTCTATATCACTTCTGTATAGCGATTGGCCTTTTATGTTACTTCATATTCTCAGACCAGGTGATTTACCACTAGCCCCCATTATCTTGAGGTGTGATGACAAGAAAATGTCGATTAGCCCTAGTCCCGGAAGATGTGGTCAGTAAGGAAGCAATTCGAAGCAATTTGGCTATTGATTTGTCACTCTGTCATTCGGTTGATTGTTAGCCTAGAGCGTTCCCACATCCGAGTATCTATGAATGAATGAATTTTCATGTCCAACACATTCCTTTGCTATCTTTACAGTGCCACTATCGCGATCAGCTCCGTTTTATAGTCATCTAAGCCCATTTTCTGAATTTTTTTTGATGCATTCGTTCGAAACAGGGCTCTTTGGTGCTCATATAGCCTATATGGAATATAGCAAACCATATATAGGTATAAGTAGAAAAATAGAGCAATTTTATGAACTCGCATTACACTTCTCAACGGTTATATGTCCGCAAAAGAGAGAGAGAATAGAAAATATTGAATATTCATAATATTAGATAATTTCGATAACACTCGGTTTCAATGGTTTTGCGGAGGAAAAATGTTTAGGCAGACAGTGTCTGTCTACTGTAGTCAAATTCATTGCCTTTGTAAACTTACCCAAGTGTAGATCACGTGCTTTTAGATATGAACGGTTTGTGGATGAGTCATGATAGACTCGTTCGAGTGTTTCTAAGTTCTGAATACCTACAAGTAGAATACGGTGTTGATTTCTACGAGCACTAATTCGATTTGTATGGCGCGTCAATTAGCATGATGCGCCGTAGATGCGCATATTTTTTGTTAAATTAAATATTAAATATTCGAGCAGCATTAGATGTGTTTTTATATTCAATCATTCAATCAATTCAAGCATTTATACAAAAAAATATATACACAAATATAAAGATATATAAACGCATGTATATGGATGTAGGTATTTACGTATACATATGCATAGGTATGTAAATACAAATCTCCATTTAAGCAAATACAATTCTTTATTGTTGCGTTGAATTTTGGCAAGACGTGTCCAGTCATTGTAATTGTTTATAATGTTGCCTAAATCTTTGATGTTTCAATTTAATCATGCGTTTGACTTGTTTCATTTAAAATTTACATGGATAATAAATTTTTGATATGTTTACAATGTGGTTAATTAGTTCGACGTGAATTTTTTGAGAGCTTTGATTCATGATTCCTCATAAAAACTTTTATATATTGGTCAATTATTGGCTCTATAACTATATTCGTGCGGTTTGCACAGAGATGGCGTAACTTCATTATTATTCCTTGTTCCAATATTCGAAAATGCGTTAGAAAGTCACTGTCTTTATTCGGCTCTTTCAGTATATGCCATTCATTTAAAGCTTTAAAAACAATATTTCTTTCACTCAATTATGTAGAACCTTGTGCCTGAAAAAGTGTTGTCGAGGAGTTCTTCTTCTTTTACTTTAATAAGCTCAGCCGAAAGTTATCGT